GGTATGGATCCTCCGATGGACGGCCAAGGTGTTGGTCCTCTTGAAGGACTTTCCGCATATGTCGCATTGGTAAGGACGAGCGTCGCTGTGGGAGACCAGGTGCCCTTCGTAGAGATTCTTCGTCCTGAAGAGCTTTTTGCAAGCTTCGCACTGATAGAACGTTTGAATCGTCGATTGTTCTGAAGATGTTTCTTCGTGTTTCGTTGACTTATTCAAAGAGATTCTTGCAATTATAGGGTCGTTTGAATTTCTTTGATCTTCTTCTTGTTTGACAGAGAAAGGTGACACTGATTCTTCGATTACTTCTCGCGTTGATTCGATATCGGTCCCTGAACATCCTGCTTCCGTTGATCTGCGAATAAAATGAGAAAAAGAGTCTCGTCAATAGCGATTCGTACACTATCAGATGATGTAACGACAACTTTTATTTAACGAGAGGATTTGGTTCGTTCTTTTTTATTGAGGAAGATGATTACATATTCTGAATACATATAGCGTTGGATTTTTCAGTTCCTCTTCTTTCTTCAGGATTGTACGTTCACTTTCGTTCGTTTTAGAATTTAGATTTGTTGCTGGAAGAATAAATGGATTTTTACAAGGATAAAACTTTTATATTATAATTCTTGTACTGGTATACAGAATAAGTTACATTAACAAAATTTTTATGTCATGAAAATTTCTTCTGTTGCTTTCGTTTAACGTATAATAAAATTAATGCAAATAAAAACTTAAGTAACTAGTTTGTATAATGTTTCGTTACAATTGTGATACATATACGCGAAGAAACAAATGTTAAATCATTTTCAGAAATAACAGAAGATTTTGAGATTTTTCTATGTGATGTTTCGTCTACATAAATCTTATGCTACTTAGAGATAAAATATACAAAAAATGCATATTGCTGGTCTTTTTACGAGAAATGAATTAATTAACTTTATGTGCGTTATTAATTTTTGTATTTTATATTTACATGCAAAATTATACAAATAAAAAAAAAAAGAAAAAAAAAGAAATGGATTACTGCAAAATCACAATTTTATAGACAGCTCGTTTATTACACTTTGTCTATTCTATCTGTAATTCGTGGATAATTAATTATTAAGGAAAATTATTATATATTATGTTAGCAACTTTATTCTATTATATTGTTTATTATATGTATGTTTTATGAAACAAAAATTAAAGTAGCACATACATATGTAAGTTTAATTAGTTTGTTAATGACTGTATATCATGGCACCTCAAAATTAAAATAATATATTTTATATTATTTCACACATTGGTTAAATATTGCTGAACGAGTATCAGTCTTGTTAGAAGACTTCCTAATACTTTGTTCTTTTAATATTTTTATTGCAAAATTTATATCTTAAATTATTGTTAACTTATTATGTAGTTGTAATATTCTTGTATACAATATATTGGCTGGTTTATAATTATTCTGTAGTATAATAAATTGATTGTGCAGCAGAGTATTTAATATTTGCACTTGTATCTTTTCCTTCATTGTAAGAAAATTTTACCACATTATTAAAAAAGAAATCTCGCATTTTTCTATTGAACCTACTGTTTAAAAAGTACAAGAACCTGAGTAAAAACAGTAACTATAAGAATATATTGTCAAACATTATAATTACAATATTTTCTATAAAGGAAAATGAATAATTCTTTAAAATATTCAAAAATTTCTATTAAAACAAATGTATAAGAAAACTTACTAATAATAAAATTAGTATTTCTATATTTAAGTAACGATCAAATCTAAAAAAAGATCTAATAGTTCAGGGTTAATGGTACACGATAACAATTTCGTATAAAAATCAATATTTTCTGAAGTTATATTAATACGATACAAAAGTTGGCCACTTGATTTACTATTGAAACATCTTTGTACCCCATGAATTTGAATAATTTTTATTTCAAAAAGAATAATATATAAAAATTTTAATTTCCCCATATGAGAATACCTTTTTACAAAAACCATAACAATTGAAAATTTGTTCACATTATGTCCTTTCAATAAACAAAGAATCAAAATTCTGCATCTGTTTAAAATTTCTCATAGAAAAATCATTATGTGATCCTTAACACCATTTCCCAATTTAAACGAGATCAAAAGACTTATCACCTTTTACTAGTGATCAAATCAATACTAATACATATTGATAATATTCAAACAATCCTAAGCAATGATTAGTATCAAATGGTACCAATATTTTAGGTATTTGGTATCAATTTTTAATTTCGATACTTTCTGAAACGATACCAAAGAAATACCTATTTGATCTCAGCCCAGTCTTCTGACCGGTCACTTTCTTTCATTATGAGATTTCATATGCGAGTTCAATGACCCCTGCTGAGTGAACCTCTTCTGGCATACCTTGCACTCGTAAGGTCTCTCTCCAGTGTGAGTCCTCAAATGAACAATCAAATATTTCCTCACGCTAAACGCTTTCCCGCACACTTCACAGACATGTGGTTTCTCACCGGAGTGTATTCTCATGTGAACCTGAAGGTACGCCTTACTAGACACTGACTTCCCGCAAATCTCGCAGGTAATCAAATTCTCCCCAGTGTGAATCTTCAGATGCACCTTCAGAGCAGCCTTCCAATAACTCTCGAAGTTACAAACATTGCACTTGTGCTTCTCTCGCTCTCCGTGTGACTTCATATGCGTATTCAAGTACGCAGCACTTGCATAAGGCGTGTTGCAAATCTTACATATGAACGGTTTCTCACCGGTGTGGGTGAGCAGGTGCCTCTCCAGGGTCTGATTGGTATAGAAACCTTTGCCACAGATTTCACAGTGCGTCACGTATTCCTCGTTGTGCTTCTTCTTGTGCAGTCGCAGGTCATAGCCGGACACCTTTGAGATACCACAAATGTCACAAGTGAAACGTTTGTTGTGCTGCTTCAGATGGGTCTTCAGAAACTCCTCCGTTTTGAAGCACTTGCCGCATAGTACGCATTGAAAGGGTTTCTCTTTCTGGTGGACTTTAATCATGTGCTTCTTCAACTTCTCTTCGTCCACGAACGTTTTGTCGCATTCCTCGCAATGTTCGCAGGTTTCCTCGATGTTCCTTTCGTGGTCTTGTCTGTGCTTCAGGAATTGTAACTTCTTACGCATTCTCTTGTTACAAATGTCGCATTCATAAATTACCGTATATTTTTTATGATTCTCTCGTTTGTTTTGATAATTTCGAGCCCTTGGCTCTGATTCTATTTCCGTTTCTTCCACAAGCATTTTTATCTCTTCGTGGTCCGTGTACTCTATGGTATCCGTTACTATCTCGTGATGGCCGATCTCTTCGAACTCTTCAACGGTGCATACCTCGTTTTCGTACTTCACCAATTCCATACTGTCGAGCGTTTCTATCCGCTCGATTTTCGCGTGCTCGATGTCGACCACCTGGCACCTGTAACCGACAAGACTCGTCAACGTGCGAAACATAGATACTGTACGAAGGTTTAACAAGGTAATAAACGGTAGTACGTGTTGTTGGGGTGGGTGGAGGAGTATCTTCGATTAGAAGAGGTCCACGTTCTTCTTCTTGGGTTTTGGCGGTACAAATACTCGAATGAGCAATTGAAACTATGCACGGGTGGATTTTGACGAATATAATAATACATTTTTTTAAATATTGGTGGTATTGTAATCTTTCTGTCAAAAATTCAGGTGTCCATTAACTTTCATTTTTATATTATTTTTGGAGCCAACAGGTTGAAAATTCTTCCTTTTCTTTCCTTTTGAAAATATATTATTTACTTACCAGTGAACTTTCTTGTTTAAAATTAATTTATGTTATAGACAATATTTTTGAACATTGAAGTGTCTTCAATTATCATTTATAAAAATTAAGTAGTTTATCACGAATATGATCTAATAACTGTGTGTAGTATTCATTTTATTACATTATGTACAGTGTACTTGATTTACTTAATTAATGTAACATGTATTTCTTTATATTAGAAATAATTATAATTATTTGTAATGAAATTATGCTCTTCTAACATAACAGTTTCACCATTATCACATATAGTTTCTGAAATCAAATCTATCTTTGATAAATTCTCAAATGAACCATCTCAGGAACAAAGACCAAAGATACTAATCTCCAAATTTGAATTTAAACTCAATAACTTCATTTTGCAGCCTCGTGGCGACGCAAATGGGCACTAAGAGTTCCACGTTGGGTGAAACGTTTCTCACAAATTTTACATTTATAAGGTCTTTCTCCAGTATGAGTTCGACGATGCTTAATAAGATACTTCCTGGAACTAAACGCCTTTCCGCAAAATTCACAAATCTCTGGTTTCTCACCAGTGTGTATCCTGATATGAATCTTCATGTACTGTCGTCTGATCAATTTCCCACAAACCTCGCAGGCTACCTGACTCTCACCAGTATGAGTCCACAGATGTTCCTTGTAACAATAACTATAGAAAGTCTCAAACCCACAGATCTCACATTTGTACTTCTTCCTGCTCTCTGGTTGACTATGAATCTTCATGTGACTCCTCAGGTACACGCGATTACCAAAGGACTTGTGACAAATCTCACAAGTACAAGGCTTGTCATCGCTGTGAACGCTCATGTGTGTCTTCAGGGTTGCCTTCAGGTAGAATCCTTTCTTGCAGACCTCGCAGAATTCCGTGAACTCCTTGTTGTGTCTTCTGATGTGGATCTTCAGGTAGTACTCCGAGGTCAATTTAGCCCCGCACACGTGACAGATATGAGGGGCACCGTGAAGAGTTTTGTGAACGTTTAAATATTTCTTCTTCTTGAAAACTTTGTGACACACGTTGCACTCTATCGGTCCTGTGGAAACGTTCTGATCCTTCTGCTTGATCCTGATAGCTTTATCCTTTGCTCTGCGCTGTCTCTGTTCGCTTATCGTTGATTCTTTGCATCTAGTTCGCCTATGCTTTAGCAGTTGTATCTTTCTGGCGAAAGTCTCGCAGCAAGAATCGCAGGCGTATTTCTTCTCTGCCTTCTTCAGGGCTTCCCGAGTTCGAAGGATGGATTGCTCGGTTCTGTGCACCAACAGAGCAGCTTCCGTGTCGAATTCTTCGTCGCAGGACTCGCATTTACGCGATACTGCCTTCTCAACGACGGTTTTAGGCACTTCGAGTTGCTTGGCTGGTATCGTCTTCACGATTTTCGCTCTGGAAACATAGAACAGGGTTTAAGCAGACCTAAACAGCTATTCAAGGTCGCGCAGAACGAAGACATCAACGGGTTAATTTGAAAATGTTAGAACGGAAACAGCGAGAAGATAATGCTTCCTCGGATATTCTTGTGTTCCTATGCGATGATTCTTTGATGGCTGGTCGAAGAAAATGTTTACTGATAGATGATGAAGCTACTTACTGAACGAAGCTGGTCAAGCTGCAGGAAATGATTGGATTTCTTGATGAGGAATGACAAACGTTGCACAGAGACACAGCTACAAAAATGCTGAATGATGATAATTCTGATTTTGAAATTTTTCTTATACTTCATACACGTGGTACTATTTTTGTTCATGATGTTGAAGAACCATTTATTTCAGAGATTTTCATTCATAATTATTCGCTGAATAGAATATAAAACGGAATGTTTATTGCATCGTTTATTTTTATGAAGTTGCTTACAAAAAGATGTTGCACCTGCTCCAAATAATTAACAATAATTCGATGTATCGTGAAAATTAGGGCGGTTGATAATTAGTTGTACATGCATTCGAGGAATATATTATATTTTAACACGTTGAGCGTCAAATTTTTAATTAAGTTGAATGCTGTGCAGAGTCATTAGCACTGCAAATTAGGAATACCAAATAATTAAAAAGAAAATAATAGAAAAATATTATTTTAAATGGCACTAATTAAAAGCTTGCAATTTGAGACAATCAACGTGTTAATTATAGAAACTTCTAATTATGTGGAAGTGTTAATTACTGTAGGCTTCCCGAGGAAAAGTGGCGATGTAGGGAAGGTGATCCTCCAATATATAGTCTTTAGCCTCCCACCACTTTAAATTGATATTTATGTTACTAAATTTTATAACATTTAATAATTAAAAATTATATCATTTTTCTTTCTAATTTATATTTATACTTTTAATATTAATATTTTTAAAATATGATCCTGAGAATTCCTACTTCTCCTATATGGCCATTTGCCCTAGGGAAGCCTACTTTGCTCGATACTGCACGTTTAGTTAACAGTATGGTCATATGGCGTTCAACGTGTTAATTACCTAATTAAAAATGACGAATTTAGACTTTCTTTCTCATTAATTGATGCAAATAATTCTATCTACACTTAATAATTCACTAAAGCGACGTATTACTAATAATTATCAACTACAATAATAAAAAAAAAAATTGTTTCTCTTTGCTTCGCACGAGGTGCAAGTAGAAGCCACACATCAAATAAGCTTCTCTCTAAATTGTCTGATACGATTATATTTTTCAATTACAAATTAATACAAGTGCAATTTTACAATGTTCGATTAAAAAAAAGAAAAAAAAAAATAGAATTAATTCCTAGGATAACTATTACGTATGCTGTTTCTCGTACATTTATTAACATAATTGAAGACACTATCACAAATTGAAGTACTGGTTCTATTTTAATAACGATTGTTCTTGCACTTAACTTATTTGCACGTATCAAAGCATTAAGAGTGCTATAGTTGGCTGCCTGATAAGTTCAAAATGTATGACACTTTACATTTATCGATTTTACAACTTGCTGTATAATTATTCCTTAATTCGGATGCTATAAATGCACATTATTCCAAATGCATCGCGTAACAACTAAGGCACTATCATATACATTGTGTGTGTGCATTTATTTAATCAAAAGCACCATTCGCACGATTTTAATAATTAAAGCAGCAGATCACGTGTGCGTATAAAAAGAAAAGAAAAGAAAAAGAAGGACTTTGAGTATTCGAGTAACGTGACGTAAAAGAAGATCTTCCAAAGCGTGGACGGTTGTGTGTCGATAAAATCATACTCGTCAAGGAATTTATCATTCGACGCTTGTGCAAGACGAATCTAAAGTAGAAATTATGAAAATATAAAGTGTTAACGTCGTAAGAGCTATTTTACACACTTTTAACCTTCGTATTCTATATATGCGACTTGCAGTTTTCATAGGTTTAAAAAAAACAAGCGAAGAAGGTTAATTTACAATTATATCTAAACGTTAATTAAAAAAAAAGAAAGAAAAATGGAATTCTTAACAGAATGTATATAATAATTATCGCGGTATAAACTACAATTTAATGAAAATATTGTCAAAGGCGAGATTCTATTAAGAAGCTCGTGATTTATAACAAATTCGACCGATTTCGATCAAACTGTGGAAATTTACAATTTTATGTAGCAATTTGTTGAATGAAATAATATATAAAATTGCGAACAATGATCAAATATAAAATTACGAATGTGACGAATAAATATTCTAAATGCTAACAATGAAATATCACTGTCAATATTTCGATTGATCTCGATTTCATCGTATAAAAATAAACGAACATCCGAACGATCGAATACCTACCCTTGCGAACAATCTAAACATCCGTATCGTTTCATTCATTATTACAAATATAAAAGAAAGTTGTATCTGTATATTCATAATTATTTGAAAAATTGACGAATTCCTATGCAGCTGTAATTTCCAGAAGCTGAAAATATACTATTTTCAATATATTACTGTCGTCGCTGAATATCCGATCACGCGATATCGCGTGCGGGAGCCTGAAGGCCTCGAACACTGTGGCACACGGCGAACCGCTCGTTCCTTGGACCCTAATCATAATAATAAAAAAATATACAAATTTTGAATTCTAAACAAAATAAAAAAGCTACATAGAAATCAGACAACCCTAGACATTCAGACAACTTCTTTTTATAATTATATTTTATAACGAACTGATGGTAATCCTATGCAAAAGTAATTAGGCCCGCGTGCATCACCTAATCTATACCCAAACGACTTCCATATCTCTCCCAAATATCAAAGACTCTCTCTCTCTCAAGGCCTTGTTCATTTCACTGTACCTACATGATTGCCACAGGAAATGCCCTAGCTAGGTAACAATATAGTGATCGTATCGAGGGACTGTTCCTGATCCTGGATCTCCGAATCCTCCTGTTGCAACTGTTGTTGCTGTTGCTGCTCCTGTTGCTGTCGAGCAGTCTGCTTGGCGTGGGTTTTCAAGTGAGAGTTCAGCATGGTTTTCGAGGCGAATGATTTATGGCAACAGGTGCATGGGTAGGGTCGATCGCCGGTGTGACCCCTAAGGTGCACCACCAGGGTGGTTCGTTGGGTGAAGCGTTTCTCGCAGTGGGTGCATTTGTGGGGTCTCTCGCCCGTGTGGGTGCGTCGATGTACGCTCAAATAATTCTGCGAGATGAATCCTTTACCGCAGAGATCGCAGATGTGCGGTTTCTCGCCGGTGTGCTTGCGCAGATGGACGGTCAGGTATGTCTTGCTGGACACAGCCTTGCCGCAGACCGGGCAAACGTACTCTTTCTGAGGTCCCACGTTTCCGTGGGTCTTCATGTGGACCAGCAACACCTGTTTCCTCGAGAAACGTTTGTTGCACAATTCGCAGTGATGCTTCCTTTGAGGGGGCACGTAGTCGGGCTGATGCAGCTTCGTGTGCAGCCTCAGTCCCTGTCGATAACGGAAGGTCGCGTTGCAGATGTCGCATTGAAATGGCTTTTTGTTGGTATGCATGTTCTGATGCTCCTCGTAGCTGTCCTGCGATACGAAACTTGCACCGCAGACCTCGCATTCGTATTTGTAGTCGATGTTGTGACGTTTCTGGTGAGCGATCAGGCTCTCCCTGTGATCGGTGACGAAACCGCAGGTCTCGCAACTATACGCCTCGTCCGTTTCGTGTTCCAACTGATGGTCGGCCAATTCGGCCGCGGTCGCGAAACTACAACCGCAGTGCTCGCAGACCAAATGGTCGTCCTGAATTTGTACAACTTCCTCTTCGTGGATCTTTATATGCATAGCGAGTTCCTCGTCGGACATGAAACTGTCACCGCAGAGATTGCATTGTACGATAGTGTCGGTGATGATCACCTCTGCGTTCTCCACCTTAGGCACGTGCAAACTATCATCCGTGATGAGCATCTCTTCTGTATCTTCCTGTTCGTATATCTCGGTGTCGCATTCCTCCTGTTCATCCTGAGCTGCCACTTCAAGCTTTGACACAAAATATCTGGAAAGAAGAGAGACACAAAACGGCGGTCAATCAATAGTTGAATTCATGCTCGATCGTTATACTGTACTCTTTTTTTTTTTCCTTTAAGGGACTTTTTTATCTTTTAGCAGATTTTTGTTTGCGGGGAGAATCGGTCAAACATCCGTGAACATCTTTATAAAATGAAACACATTTATAGAAGTGCCTCGGTGCTTTCCAGTATTTTCTTTATTCAATTCCTGTATTTAAAACCTCTTCCTTGTCTCGCTATAAATTATTCTTAGATAAATATATTCGTTTAATTCTATACACATTTGTTTTAGGACTATTCGGTACATTTTGTTCAGAAGTATATTATTATTTATTCGTACAATAATTATAATATACTTCTGAAAAACGTTACTCGATTCTATTTAACACAATCGAGTATATTAAATAATTTATTTCATGTTCTCGATGACTCTTATGTAAATGGGCAATAATTAAAAAAAAAATAAAAATAAAAATAATTAGCAAAGTTGCGTTATATTTTTTGTGAGGAAAAAGTGTTAAATATTCAACAAATCGTACATAAATTTATAATCGTGTTATATAATTTCGTATATTTAATTGTTTCATCGATAGCAATCTCTGCTGCACACTTACCGACACGATGCACTGTTTTATCGACAGCGCAGTCACATGACACGATCCGCCATCTTAGATTTATCCAAATAAATTGCCACTCAAATACCAAACATTTAATTTCAATATTTATATTACCCTCAATAAAAAGAATGTAAAACATTTCATACGTTAACCATATTTCTCATCTTCCTACCCTCAAAATTACCTAATTTAAATAAAAAAATAACAATCACTGGTATAAGTTACTACACCCCAAAATATGATTTTCTTTTGAGAAAATCTAGATTTTTAGTCATCGAGCGTTTTGCTATTCAGTATAATAACCAAACCAATTATTTTATTCGATTTTTACTCGAATGATTTGCTTCAGAATAAAATTTTTCTAAGTTTGAAAATAAAACTTAAATGGTGATACGGATACTATAGCTTCCTGTTGCACATACGTGAATTATGATGTATCAATGAATCGTTAATTAAAAATAGTTACAGATATTCCAATAACATTGAAAACTTTAATTAGACGAAAAAATTACATTGAAGAGTGATAAAATTCATAGAAATTCTTCAGCAACGATCACGTCCAACGATTAATCACAACTATGTTATGTAATAATATTAGTAGCAAAGATCTTCCACGAGATTACATAGAAATATTTAAGCGTCTTCATACTTACGTCTTACGATATTCATGTAACATGTAATAACCCTGTACTTACATTAATCAGAGGCACATGAATTCATCGTTAAGGCTGAAATACTAACTGTATCATTTCTATCTATCAATTTAACCAAGAAATGTTTAAAATAATTGTACATTTTCAAGATAATCGTATACTAATGTTTTCCTATCATTTTAACAGTAATTTGTAAACATCAAGTAACTTCTAAATACGCATTTAATTATTACAATTAGCTTCCCTATTTAGGATGTCTCCTTTTTTTCTATCGATTAAAAATTCTCAAAAATTCTATTTTTTTTTTTTTTTGTTAGGCACATTTAAACTTAGCTCGCTACACAGGTACTAATTTTAGTTGTAGCTAATTTCACGAACCGAATCTCAGAAGTGATTACCCTATCCTTTGAACTATTCAGAATGTACACGAACGAACAATATCACAGTGACAACATGCACGTTACACGCAAGATTAATTAAATTACTATTTTTGTCATAGACTTCTATAGTTAACAATTAACAAATGTTTCGATTTAAAAACGTAGTAAATCATCACGATCGGTAAACTTTGTAAAACTATCAACACAATAATTCTAATAAAATCTTATTACAGTAATAAGGCTATCTACTTAATTGTAATCAATCTTCAGGCACTTTATGATCTGTTTCCAGAAGAAATTAAAAAAAAGAATTCTAAGTTTGTCTCCATTGAGACCTCTAATTTAAATCTAAATTTTGTTACTATTGACTAGAAAGAAATGAAATATTAATACTTTGATTGCCACGTCACAAATACCTGGATGATAAGTAAATTTTAATTTAAAAAATCTGACTCCCATTTTATTTCTCCAGCTCTACTAAATTTTGCTAATAATAAAATTATTCCGTGGCGTTTAAAGTGTTAAATGATACTCTTAAATAAAAAATAAATCATAACCCAAAGTATTTCTTAATTTCCATGATCAAATATGAATCAGTGTCTGGGGCACGTTTTAACGTGCATCCATTGAACAACCTGTATCCATCCAGGGATATTTAATGCTTTTTCATATGATTCAGCATGATGGTTCTGGTGACGAATCCTTTACCGCACAACGTGCACGTGTAAGGACGTTCCCCGGTGTGATACCGACGATGGACGGTAAGCGTGGAGGCCTGTGTGAAGGACTTGCCGCACATGGCACAAAGGTACGGTCTCTCCCCGGTATGGATACGTTGATGCACCACATAGTACTTGCGATGGGTGAAACCTTTGCCGCATACGTCGCAGACGAGCGGTCTGGACCTGTGTACGGCCTTGTGGGTCGTCAACGATTCGATGCTCGCGAATTGCTTGGAACACGAGTCGCACGGGTACGAGGCTAGAGGCTTGTTCGTGGCCGCTACAGCGCCGCTAATACTGCTAGTTACCGGATCACCGGAAGGCACAACGGTGTCGGCGATTCTATTGTTACCCGTCGAAACAGGCTTGTGAGTTTTCGCGTGATGATTGTACAAGTTTCGTGTCTCGAACCGCATCATACACCTCGGACAGGAGTAAGGTTTCTCCTGTCCTACCTCGTGCATCCTTCGGTGCCGTTCGAGAAGGGTACGGTACCGAAAACTGGCCGGGCAACGGTCGCACACGAAAGTTTTCTCGACGTTCATCGAGGTCGATATCGTCGGTAAGGAGGCGCACGAGGTTGCCGGCACGGAATGAGTCACCTCGTGCATCCGCAGATGGCTCAGAGCGAAGAACGTTCGCGAGCAAATGTTGCACGAATACCTCATTGGGTTCTCTATATTCTGCTCGAATTCCGGCAGAGCCGGGTGACTTGTCCTTATATGGTAATTCAGTTTAAGCGTGCTTCGAAACTCGAGGCCGCACGTGGGACACGGATGGGACTCGGTGACGAACTGCACGTGGTCCATCAGGTTCTGATCGGAACACATGGACGGTAAATGGGACGGGATGGTTTGAAACGTCGAGGGCATCATCGATGACTGATTGGAGTACATCGAGTTGTTCTGAAGCAGGGTACACGTGACGGGTAGACCGGGGTCCCCCGTCTCGGGCGATGGCGAAAGTATCTGACGCAGCATCCCCGATAATCCGCCGAATGTCTCGCTTCCTTCCCTGAAATCGACAAAACCCAAGGACAATGCAGCGGCGAACAATACTGTACGGGTGCGCGTATATCATTGTCATTTGATTCGTTCTGGTGATTGTCTTTCACGATTTCTCTCTTGCGACAGGCGGTGTGTTAAGAATAGGAAAAGCAGAGAAAGAGAGAATATCGAACGCTGCGTGATGCTTTTCGGCAAATGTGACCGTGCGCTAAGTGCTTGGGCATTGTGATTCTTTCTTTTCCAGACACAGCAGTACACAGTGCAACCAGAGCGCGGGTGCAGATCGAGATCAAGAAATTTTTGTCGTCGTCGTCGTTCTCTATTATCTTCACGATTTTATTCTTTTCACTTTACCATCAAATATCTTACCTTTTATTATTTAAATCAATACAAAATCGTTGCGACGAATATAAAACAGGATTTTATTTTTATTAAAAATGATCTACTAAAGAGACTAATTAAAAGGAAACACTAACACGTTTCGTGACTAATCTTAGAAACTATGCCTCCTCTTTCCACGTCTTTAGACTGGTGACAAATTAGCACAAACTCAGAAAGAAATTAAAAGTTTTCTCTACAGCAAACCAGCAGAAGGAAGGAAAATAGTTAAGCTACAAAACTTGGCAAAAAAGTTAATAGAAGCAAACCCTTGCTAAAAAATCATTATTCTTTACTAATGATACAGGTATGTTTAGAAATTAAAGTAAATTAGTATTAGAAGAAAAATGTTCATTCTCACCTGTTAATTGGTATCCGTGCACTGTCCTCTTCTCTTCTTCTCTTGGCACTAACTTCTTCCAAAAATTTTCTTCTCAAATATTTCACTCATAATTATAAACACACTTGGAGTAAATAGTAAAATATCAAACAATTTGTCCACAGACAAAATTGCAAATTCAGTACATCTTGCAAAAATGAAGATGTACCATTAAAAATGAAAAATATAAAATGCAGCATTAAAGCTTGCATCGTTAACCGACGCGCATCGCAGCCTGGTAATAATTATTTTAAAAAAACAGTCTGGTTAATTTTCCACCAAACTGCAAAAAGAAAAAAATAACGCGCGCAAAATAGGCAACGCGTTATTGAAATTTGGAAACTTCAAGCGCAGCAAATTTTCAGCAAAAAAAGTCTGCTGAAGCATGCACTCAAGTTTCAATAGAAAGCATCTCGCGTATTTTTCTGTATCACGTTAAATAAGAACGTGATAACAGAAAAAAAAGAACGATAATGAACAATAAATTTCATCAAATATAAATTACGCTTACAAACTATTGAAATTAAAAATATAAAAGCATAATACTCGCCTTAAGAAGAGTATTGCTCGATGTCCTCTTCGTATGTTTCTCAAACGATGATCGTTCTTCAATCTTCGATATTATTCTAATCATTTTTTCTCTTTGTATTTATGTTAAATCGATCGATTTCATTTTTATTTAAAGAAAAAAAAAAAATAGCACTTGTATTGAACTGGCAAGATCGCCAGTTAGACAATAGCAATCGAAACCGAGACCGTGGCACGAACAGCACCATTTATTTATCAGCGGTTCTAGTGCGCAGTTAACAGAACGATAGCACTTACAAGCTAACCGGTATACTAAAGTAAACTATATGGTCCTGACGATAATGTAAAAGCGTAGGCATTTGGAAAGCACGAAGACGACAAGAAACGGTATGGCTTGTTTCGTTTGGTTTCTCTCATTACGAATTGTAATACAGCTTGGTGATCATTTTCGTATCCACCAAGCGCGTCTATCATCGTGACGTTAGCTTACGAAATTATTAGTTTGTGATTTTAGATCTTTTTCTTTTTTTTTTTTTTTTTGTCGGCCTAATTGTTTGGCCGTGTGCGGCATTTTGTGCCTTCACGTAAGCGTGGGATATTGATACTGACAACATGTAAACATCTGGTTTCCAATTGAACAGAGGGATTATGTACTTATTGTTACATGTTAAAAATAAAGACTATTCAATTATGATTTACATACTGATTAAGAGATGACGTGTAATTAGTAGAATCCCTCTGTTCATTTATTGTACACGTATCGAATAATAACTAGGATAGAGTTCATTTAAATAGGAGCATGTGTGATATATTATATCTTGTGTGATATAAGTTCCAATGATTCAGTTAAGATAATTCTTATTGAAATGAACTCTATGTACATGCTATTACATGTAGGAATATCGAAGTATTTTGCAATTTGTTTCATGCAGTGAATGTATTTCTAGAGATTGTATTAATTTTGCTGCAGGTTGAACGAATGGATTGAATGAATGTTCTTAGTTTGCGATGCCGGATGTCAAATTGCAAAATACAGAGAGCCAAAGATGGTTGTGGGGTGTGTATGAACTTACCTCGTAATCTTGCACCTTATTCGTTCGAATCAGGTGACTAACTCTCAAATATCTATTTGAAAATTGAAAAATTAAAATTCTACTACATGTCTAACTGTACCAGTGATTTCATTAAAAAGATTTGGAATTTTTTGTAATTATATTCAATACACAATTGTAATAAGAGAAAATGAATGATAATCAAAATGAAGGGAAATAATACAACTCGTTTTTGTACTTTATGCAATAAATTATTAAATCATGAATTAAATTATCTATTAATTTATTTTAAATCACGAAAATTTTGAATTTGTAAAAAAAAAGGATAATTAAACTGTTTGTGTGGGTGTTTGTGATCTCCACAACAGAACGGCACCTTTGGCTCTGAAAGTACGAAATATGGATAAAAGACTCACCCAGTTTTGGGATCCCCATCTGCAGTCTGTGGCATTGGCATCTCAGGCATGTCTGAGATTTTCTGCTGTAGCCCTGAAGGGCCTGCTTCGTCACACGCCAAGGAAACATTTACAAAAGTGGTAGGCTCTATAGTTCTATTATTGGGATCTTCTTCGCTTTCTTCTTTTACAGGTAGGCCTGAAAAAAAAAATGAAAATCCAAACGTACAAATTAGTATTTCAATGTTTCTTTTAAAAATAAATGTACTTAAACAAAAAAGTAACATAAGCATTCAATGCACCTTCATCTCCATCACATTCGTCGTCAGAGTTCTCTTCATCTTCGCTACTTTCTTCTTCGTCTTCTTGCTGCGCAGAGCTCGACTGATTCTGTGATATTTGGTTATGTGTGGTTTGTGAACTTGGACCAGGCACTGCCTGAACGGGTTGTACAGAATTACCGCTTGTGTCCATAGGAACTGAGGTTATTTGTTGTTGCTGATTAGCATTGGATATCATCATAGGAATACCCAGGCCCATGTTATCCATCATACCCATACCCATATTGTTTTGATGCTCGCCAACTTGCTGCATCACATTGCCATCTAACCTGTTCTCTGGTCTTTGTTCTTGTTTCATTACATTCTGAAACAAAGAATTAAGAACACATTTGTTAACTTCAAGCATTATACTTAACTAAATAATATATTATCACAGTTTCAACTAAATGAATGAAAATAGTATCCAAAGTCATAAAAGTAATATAACCTTGAAATAATCATGCTACGATGTATTGAAAACATTAACATATACTTTAATTATGAAAATTAATTACTCCAATAATAGTAAAGCTTAATCAAACATTTACATGAAGAAACAACTTACCAAAGTTTGAAATTTTAAATATTTTTATCACTAGTGTAATGGTAACCAAGTAAACACGTAACTGAATATCAAAAGAATAAAAGAATATCTATACTTCTAGATTTTATTATACAATGTGTAAACATTCACAGTGATTAACTGTAAATAAAAGAAATATTTCATAGAGAATAAAATTACCGGATTGAGAACATTGGTAACATAACCCTGTTTGTCTTCTATATTGACTTCTCCTAGCCATTGTAGAAGCTGCTTTTCTGCATTCGCTGTTGTATTCCAAAATTGATAAAATAGCTCTACTTTATACACACAGTCATCACATATCTTTTTGGGTAACTTGTCTTCTCTTGTAACCTATAATGATCCAAAACAAAAACAAAAATATTTAGTTTGCCCTTTATACCATCAGCCGTGTAAATAATGTAAGCAAAACACAAAAGGAAAGTATGCTATGTATGTTTCTTATTATTTCAATTTTGAGTGAAACCGTTCATTTCAAATTCATAAATAAAATCCTGCATCATAAAATTACAGGACGAAAATCGAGGTAGGCAAACGAATGAATTATCAGACAAAAAATTAATAGTACATTAAGTTGTTTCCACAAAGCGTCTATTAATGGAACGACTTTAAAAAGTTCAGAAAGTTACCTATAGATGTTTTATAATAGAAACAATGATGTCGAAAACAAGATGTCGAAAAGAAAGAGCGTTATTCAATTCCATGCATTGTAAATAGAACATTAATACTGCGTATGTCCATGTTGAAATGGAAAAAAATGTCAATTCACACGTGTAGAGATTGTTATGAAAAATATTTGGGGCGATTCGCAATGCCTTAAGGTAGTAAAAAAGCGCGGCAAAATTCTACTAAACAATAGTTGGCGTCGTGGCTGAGTTAAAGAGGAGTTGAAAAAAGAGTGAAAAAGAGAGAAAAACAGTGCAACAGTATCGTAAAGCTACCTCGATATCGCTACTGCGGAGGTAACTTGTAATTTCTTGTCTATAGGGCGATCTCTGAAATAATCGAGACCAAACAGTATCTACTGGGAGGTCGAAAAGTCGTGGACAATCAAGGAAACGCGGTGTAGCTATGAAAATGCACAAGATGGCGGATCGCCATTGTCGAGGCGATGGCGTAGTTGGCTTACCTTGACCGGTAGACAGGCGGCGATTTTGAGAAATATTTGCCGTACGTCTCCTTCACCCTCGAAAATCGGTACCGAAACACGGTCCTTCACGAGACACAGCCGACACAGGTCCAGATAATCGAGGGAGGACATTTTACCATGTAAAACGCCAGCTCGAGACGCAAAACCGCGCCCGTAGACGCGAACGCTGTTTCAATCCAAGCCGGAGAAGAACCCCGCGTTCTTCGGTACGCGTCGTTTGCTCACTGCGCTTCGGCTAACTCCGTCGGTGTTCGACCGGTCTCGGCTCTCATCGGCTAACTTCGGATACACTCGATAGAACGGTTACGTATCGATCACGTTGTGCTTGAACCCACTTCTTTTACACGCAACGGATTCGAACATAGCGAAAATCATTTTCTTTTAAATTTATCGTTATTTGATATTAATTAATTGTATTATTATTGCAAAATTATTGTAATAAAACAAAAACTTGAACTTTCACGGTTTTGATTATATATTTTAGTTGATTTTCTTCTCTAATGCATTTTGCACCGTACTTATGATAAGTCGCAAATGTTGCAAGATGGCTACACAATCGCTGCTGATTATATGTTCCTTCTTAAACGATAAGAATACGTTAGGCAATTGAAGAAATCCTGTTCATTTTATTTATCTTTGATACATACCGATTGATCGTTCAGGTGTTTAAGAGGTCAGCCAAGTTAATGCAAACCTATCAAATTTTCATGCACAATTACTCCCACTTCTGGGTACGGATACAATCACGCATGATCAAACAGACGAGACATACTTGTCGATGAGCGATAATCATAAATCAGAGCTACTTAAATAATATTCTTCATCTTTATTAACTTTTTGCTACTTTCTCGTTGCAGAATTAAAAAAAAATACTAATTAAGCACTTCATATCATTTTTCTTAAGTATAAAACTGTTTTATGCATTATAATATATCCGATTTATTATGATACAATACAAGGCATATATTTTGAGTATATTTTTTTTAATGAAACTTTCAAGAGATTGTAGGAATATGCTGTTCCTACATATGTAACATGATTATTTTATTATTCGATTCTAAAACAAACATTAATCTCATAATCGTTATCGCAGATGTACAGTGACACGTAATGCAAATATTAATATTTAATAGATCTAAATGTGTATGGTAATATTGCACAGTAAATATTATCTATGACATGCACGAATAATTTTAGTTTATATAAATATAAATATAAATTATTCTTTATAGCTTACATCAATAGGAAATGAAATGAAACTTTTAATATATTTTAATATTAAAAGTAACAGCAAAGACACGGTACTTACCCTTAGATTGTTGAAGATATCAATGACCTGTCTTCTTTTCCCATTGATTGTCAGAACTTTACTGAACATGACAAATTGATTTAAATTTGAAACTATACCGTTTTCCAAAGGTTTCACAATCTTTGATATGATTTCTCAATAAAATATCTAGTTAAATTAAAAAAAAAAAAAATAACACGAAATGGTACAATCATTCTATGTCAAAAAATATTAATTTATTCCCTATCATTTTTTCTACAAAATGTTATTAAACAGAATAATAAAATAAAAAAATTTTGTGAACTTAGAGAAATTAAATTATCAGTTTTGATTTTAAATAAAATACTTCTCTCTTAAATATTATATCCATTTGAAATCCATACACGTACGTATATTTTATAAAAGAAAATTCAAACGACATTATGAATTTTTGCATCAAGGGACAAGGTTTCCCTTATTGTTAACAAAATACGAGGGACGGAAAAAATGACGGCCTTCGTTTTAGATAAAAAAAACTGCTTTATTGTGGCAGAGCACATGTATTATCATATACCAGCATATAATTAGGAAGTCCATAGTAATTTACAAATTACGATCCACTTAAACGTCGGTACACGTGGCGGTGTATGCAGGCAGATTTGGGAATCGATTTCGATCGCACTCATGCTGTTATCGTGTCTGTATTCATCGGTTATCATCATAATCGTTCGTTCATCATCTTATGATCACTGTTTTTTTATAACATTAATTTTTCGTTCGAAGATTCGGATGGGAAAAAGGGGAGAGAGGAGGGTGGATCTTCTAAAGATCCTTGTAACGGCGGTGCATTATTTATAATACATGAAAACAAGGGATATGTGGTCTTTTTGTCGTTTTATCGAGAAAATTTTTACCCGTACGAGCCACTGGGACTTTTTTCTTAATTTTCGTTTCTCCCTCTTTTCTTTTTTTTCCCCCTTTCAACAAGGACCTTGTTTCGTATCTTACAAATTACAGTAATCATGATTATCGCAAGTGACAGTATTTCCAGGCATTTGTTGGGATCAACAAGACTCTAATTTTTCAATGTTAAGAAAAAAATGAAAATTATTATAAATTAAAATTGCCTTATGTATAACAAGGTGTTCTTTCGAAGCGTAGTTCGATCAAGAAGCATTCGTTAATCCTCCTACCATGTACAACTTATTTTTTTTTTCTTTTTTAAAGATAGAATTTAATTTCTGAGCTAAACATTAATTTATGACGAAGAAATTACATGAAATGACATTCTTAGTAATACATTTATCTAATTTATGAATAGACTGATTCTCTTAAATGTTAAATATAAAATCTTCTAAAATGATTACATGATCAATAAAATCATTCGTTGACACGTTAATAGGAGGATTAATTGTAAAATAAAAAGAAAATTAACTAGATATTGTTGCTCCTTTCGTTTTTCTTTTTTTTCTTTTTTTTCATGATGCTCTCGTTCGACATGGTTCTCTCGCAGTTTGTCTCTCGTTGTCGACAAAACCGCGATGAAACTTGCATTATTTCGATGCTCATATATGAGTTAATTAATTAGTTGTTAATTAATTTGTTAAATTCGTAACTATTTTACTTATAGCTTATGCTATAACAATAATAGCAAAAATTGCATGAATGTGTGTCTAGATTTCATTTCATCTCGTTTAATCTCACATACTTCACCGAATTGTCGTAATGTAAATTTACAGCTATTACAAATATTATTGTTTATACTCGTGTAAGGTAACATTAATGGTAATCATCGTGTTCGTTATCTACTAATACAAAGTTAAAAATGCGGGAAGTTGAAATCTTTTTTTTTTCCACGGGTTTACCGCACAGATTATATTCGTATTTATACGTACCATGCATTTTTCATAATTCTGCCTTATGGTTTTTTTTTTTTTTGCTTATGGTTTTCTTTGTAGTGTATCCAGTCAAATATCGAGTGATAATTCTTGCACGATTCTTTCTCGAGTTAACATTTGGTGTCTGCAATTATTTATTCCCTTAACACATCTTTGCTAATCGTTTCACGCTTATTCAACATTAAATATCGAATAACTGGAATGGTTTGGAAAATTTCGATTAATTCACCTACGGTTATGTTACGTTACGTTAAAGAGGTATAAACGATAGTTGTTACCTTCGAAAAATTTTTTTTTTTTTGAGCCCTTACGTTGTCAATAGACGTCAGACAGCTTGCAAAAATTTCTCACCCGTTTTTCACTAAATATTAAGGATCAGAACGGCTCATTTCAAACCGACGTGTTTTTTTTCTTTTTCTCTTTTTTTTTTTTCTCTTAATGTCGACTCGCTTATCCAGCAATACTGGGACTAATTAAGCTAGCGTTGGTCGAAGATCGTTGACAATTTATGCATATATATATTATATTACGTTTCACACCATATCGATAAGACCTCGTTTTTTTAACAAGCTAAAATGATCAAACAGTGATGGAAGAAGGATGATAGGGAAACGCAATTTTCTAGCACGATCTGAAGCATATGTCTGACTTCGAATGGTATAATCTCCTTTGCACGTTGCAACGCGTACGTTCGTTCTTTTTTTTTTCATACACTTTGATAATAATTATTTTTAATCGTCAGATACTATTTAAAATTTCGTATAGTAGGATCTAGATCATTCGAATTATGCACAAATTTTAATTTGAAAAATTATAATGAAATTATAATTTATTACAGAAACATGTTTCAATTTTTTTTTTTTATTTCTTCAATTTTTCTCAGATGCCAAACAGGACCGGATTAAGATTTCTAGGTCTCCTTGCTTGATAAACTTGATTCAAAAATTGAAATTTATTCTAAGTAAATTTATATAACATTTAATTGTAATGAGAGAGGGCAATGGTAAAAAAATTTTCATTTGATATTCTTTGATGTAGTAAATGGGAACTTCAGAAGGGGGCCCCTGGAAAATGAGGTCTGGGGTTGCAGCTCCCCTTAGACCACTCTTTAATCCGGCGCTGCTGCCAAATTGTATTTTTACATTTTTTTTTAAATTAGGAGTACTTTTCTCTGAATGTTTCAGAATATTTGAAAATTTTATCCACTTTGGTCTCTCTTTTAATAAAACTTAAATTTTGCTAAGTTGAAAATTTTACTATTCGCAGAATTTGGTAATTGAAATTCGAATAGTCGAGGTCCTACTGTAATTTAAAATATTCTTTTATATAATTTTCCTTGAAACAAGGAGCGGATATCTATTATATGCAGACCTTTATTGATATTGGTAAAATTTAATCAGTTCGCAATTGTTTGTTTCCATTAACTCTCAGACGATAAGTTGGGTCTATTATGGCCCAAAACTATAAATGGTATACCAATCTAAAGGAATAGTGTAAAATTTATAAAATTTAAAATTAATTAAGTTTTTGCCACTTCAGTGACTCACCGTCCAAGAGTTAATTTCTAAAATGTACTAATTCCTGTTGAAACAAAGAATATTTGTGTGTTCGAGTCAGATAGGAAATCTATAAACATGTCTTGAACATTTCTGTGTAGAGTAACAATAATAATGAATGAAAAGATGTTTTTACGACGAGTTCTAATCGTGGTTGAATTCTATACGATTTTTCTTTTTTATGGCTATTTGTACTGCGATAATCTTGAAAATTGTATATCTTACATTGACTCAGATGGACATGAAAAGTTTGCAGTAAGATTGTAATAACATCTAATTATTAAAAAAAGAAAGGAGTCAAAAATTAATGAACCAATGACATGATTTCAAATACTTCTGAAACTAAATTTCATATTTTTCTATTTCATTTTTATTTACAAAAGAATTTTCTTTCTGCAAACCTTTCAAATTCTCCGACAGTGTAAAAGGTGACGAAATGATGTTAATTACAGATCATTTTCTACATACACTATTGTTCGTCGATGAAACTTTGAATTCTGTTAGTGGAGACTATCTATTCGAAACTTCATTCTTTGTCTTTTAATGATACTTTCTTGTTTACCAAAGTAATACAAGGATTCGAACATGCATAAGAAAACGATGGCACTTTAATGTAATTCGTGACATTACCTTGAGCTTGCATTTGAATCTTCCTTTTTTTTTTAATTTTTCTCTTTTTTTCGTTAATTATACCAGTGTAAACAAGCTCTTTATTAGAGGTGTACAAGAACCAGATTCAAACTGATCAGATCCGACTTGACACGATCTGAACCGACCCGACCAGAGTCGACACAATTCGAGCCGACGTGACCCGAGCAGACTCACTTCGGATCGATTCGACTCGACTCGACTCGACTCGACCCGACTCGACTCGACCCGACTCGACCCGACCCGACCCGAACTGAACCAAATCAAACTCTATTCAAACAATGCAGTCCCGACCCGACTCGACCCGAATATCGGATACCCGATATTTTCGCATTCTTACACACCTCCCTTCTTTATATACTTGCTTGTTCTTCATCAATACCCGTCTATTAATGGTAAAGTGAAATTTACTTTTTGCCACCTTGATCATTCAAGAAATATCATTTTTTTCAAATCTGGTACTTAGCCAACATCGAGAATAACGTACACAAATCTAATTATATTCAATCAATGATTCAATGGTTCGATGATGATTTTGAACTCTCACACGGTCTCTCTTCTTTCACGAACTAAAATACAGAACAGATTAAGATATGCAACATTACATCTTAATTTAATGACGAACCGTTGGTATTTATTGTTAAACAATTAATCTTTTTTTATTTCTCGATTTTTGTCGCTTAAGCGTCTCCGTTGTATCGTTGCAACGATGATAAGTAAAATTTAAAAAAAAATGAAAAATGAAAACGATACCCATATAACGCTAGACTCGAGGAATATTCAAAAGGGTTATTACAAGCTCACTTATATTTTACGGAATCACGCTATAAATATAAAGTATCATCTGAACGTCTAATATAATCCTTGTATTAATCTTAACACTCTATAACGTCCATTTGAGAATAAAAAAATGTATATCAGATTATTCAAAATTTTATTCTCTTAGGGTAATAATTTGTTCGTTTAAATTTCTTTAATTATAATGAATCTCTAATTTAAGGGCAAGTTTGAGGCGGGGGTTTAGGGAAAGAACGATCAATCTTAGACACCTGGGTTAATAATTAATATCTTGAAAAAGGCTATCATTTTTTTTTTTAACTGCTAATCAGTGTAAACGATTAAAAAATTACTTGTTCGTTCAAGAGGAGCGTTACAAAATGAAATCCTCTTTCACGATGTTGAAAGAATGTGAAATGTGTTTAATTATGGGATTCTTTTTTTTGTGTTGCTCCTTTTTGTCATTCCCGATTGACGCAATCGTTGTTTGTTCCTACCCTAATATGTTACAAATGGAATTCGTTAACGAAGATACAACAGGTGTATCCGTTCTTGGAATTTGCTTGTCTCCTTTGTTAACAGAATTTTTGTTACCGATAACGTGGAATTATGCGAACTAATGAAACTTGCAGCAAACGTGGCTGGTTCGTTGAATCGCAAGCATTTTCGATTACGTGGTCATTTCTATTTTTTATAAAAAAAATCATTTTTCAACATTCTGAATGCCACGAAAAATTTTTATAATAATTAGCCAATTAAAAACAAATCTATTTTATTTAATATTAATTATGCTTCAAATATTAACATTTTCGTAGTGTAATACAGAAATGAAATGAAATGAAACTATCAGATATAATTCCATAAATAATTTTCTATTGGCTATAAAAAAGAACGTAAAATTGCAAAATAAACAATTCTCACGGGGGTTAATAGTGGTATCTAAGTATACTAAAAATAAATTGCTAGGTTTATTGAAAATAAAATTGCTAACAGAAAGGCACTCAAAGTGTTAAATTATACACTATCCATTTTCAATAAAATAAAATAAACTGTTATAATATTTTTAACAAGAAAATTGTAGCTTTGAAATTTTCTACGTAGCAACCAACAATATTTTTCAAAAGTTTACTATTATCGATCTCTAAAGCTTATAATTTTGATATTTCAACTTGCCTCAAAGCACGTATCGAAAATGACCCGATGCAACGAACGAAAATTCAAAACAAAAGAAATTGAATAAAAGAAAAAACTTGTCACGTTGGCTTTTATTTCATCGACCGTATTGAAATTCTCAGTTAAGGCCGGCCGGGCAAATTAAAGTTGTACTACTTACTCTACGCCTTTCGTTTCAGTGTGTTCATGTGTGCAATCCAGTGTACGTCTTAAAAATACTCGAATACGTTCTACTTGTCGATAAAAGGCAAGAGAATTGTTCCGCTCGTGTTCGACTATAGTATGACGCGTTAATCTATTCGGAAATTACGTGCTTCTTCGTGTCTCGATGGATTGACTTTTCGTAGGTAACTGTAACCAAGAAGATCATGGGACGATAATTGAATTTCTCGTAATCTACGGCTTCTTTTCTTTGGAATTGGTTATCTTCGTTACATATATGCTTGTGTGGTGTGTATATATATATTTATACGTGTATATATATATATATATATTATTTTTTTTTTTTTTTGTTTAAATTTAATCTTCCTGATCGAGCATTCGTGCGTGACGAGTTCTACGGTAGCTAGAATTCTACGGTAGTTACGGCCACGATCTCTCAAACGATCTGGATTTATTTAATTAAACGGTAGTAAATGGAAAATCGAGAATGGGATTTGTCACGTACCCGCGCACTCACGTAATTAATTAATAATAATAATAATAATAGTATAATGTTATCTCGCAAGTTATGTATTATTATACACATCGTTAAGATCGAAACGCCTTAATTCCGTACACCTAGATTTTTCTCGTACGTGTAATATATCTATAGTTCATATATACAAATTGTAAAATGCTTTCTTAATGAAAAAAGTCGTGTTCATCTTGTGTATATGTCTTTTGGTGTGTATATATATTTATATATATTTTTATTTATATTTATATATATATATATTTCTCTCTCTTTCTTAGCAGTGTGAACGCAGATTTCGCTCTGGTTTTATATACGAAGTATCTCAGAATTGTACATCATGAAAACTGGAGATTCTTTGTGTTAAAATGAGTCGAAAAGTCCTTTGTCATTTTGCGATCGAAAGCTTCGTTTTCAAGATACAAGCGATTGAAGATTAGAGGTTCAACTTCCGGGGTGCTCGCGGTAGACCGGAAGTCAAATACCCAATTTTTAATTTAACTAAAAATTCTACATGTTCTGATAAATTGAAAACCCTTTTATTGTTTGCCAATTTTTAGCTATAAAAAAAGTTGAATCTTCAATTTACGGGGCGCTCATGGCCAGCCGGAAGTCAAATACCCAAATTTCAAGCACTACATTTTTCATATTAAAACGACTAAAAAAATTTTAATAAATTTTTGCAATCTTCAGTATAGGTTTTGAAATTTAAGAAATTAAGAATGGAATCCTCGACTTCCGGGGTGCTTCCAGCGTCTAATCTTTAATCGCTTGTATCTTGGAAACAAAGCTTGAGATTACAAAATGATTCGATTCGTTTTAACATGTAGAATTTACATTCTTCATGAGATACAACCATTCTTGAGATACTCTGCACATATATATAGTATTTCTCTGTGTTTCTCATTCTCTTTCTCTCCCTCTCTCTCGTGCTTTTTTTTATTAATTCTTCTTGGCTACGGAACACATGATCACTCGCACACCCTTTCTTTTCCTTTGTACATGCATAACATCTGCTTCTGAGAATCAGTTCACCGCTTGATCGCGTCAGTGACAAGATTTCATGATTTTCTTATATCAAAATAATGAAAATGGAAGATTGTACCGTTTTTGAGGAATGTTATGGTGTCAAGTGAAGGGGATGTGATTTGTCGAAAATATTGTAAGAACGAGTAGAAATAATCGGAAGCACTTGGATTCCGTCCTTTTTGGAATACGCTTAGCTTAGACTATTACAGTTTTCCAAATTATTTCTTGAAAATAGCATTTCGATTCAATCTATCACTTGGTGATCACATATTTTTTGGTATTGATGATTTCTATCAAATTGTGTATTCGACGCGAGTTTAAATTATGACGATTGTAGGGCGTTTAAGTTGAATCTTGTCACCTCTGCGACATTCCGCTATAACCGTACCATTTTTTATTTTTACAAAGAAACAATAATCACGAGGATATTTTTGTTACCAAAAAAATTTAATCTTCTCCTAAAACTCCAAAAAATCTTCCTATAACCATGTATCAAAAAAATGTCTAAAACAATACTTTCCTTCATTTGGAAATAAGGATACCCTTCTAAATCTCGGCCCTAAATGACCGAGTACCTGCTATCAGAGGGTTAATCATCAAGAATTTACAATTTCCTCATTTATCATTCAACTACCCTCACCCTCCGATCTACAGTCTACAAAAACTCTAATTCAGATAAATAGAAACGAGAACCGGTTAGATTTACAGTTCCCATATGTAGAATCCATAGATAATTTACGGCACGGTTAACTGCGGTTGCTGGAAGGGGAGGCGGTGAATCGCCAGGGGCGAATCCAGAGGGGTGCAATCACCCTTTTCAAAAACTTACTACTATAAATTTCAAAAACAAATTAATTTACATTGCAAAATAAAACTACTTTCCCCACTATTTCAATTTCCATATTTCTATTCTTCTAACAAAATAAATTAAATTATTTATAATCGTCTCATTTTTAACACGAAATTAATCAATCGATTAAAATTTCAAATCGTAGATGAAAATAAAAATGTATATAATTTTACACCCCCCAAAGGGGTGCTTCTGAATCCGTCCCTGAGAGCGTACAGAGGGTTAAAAATTCGTTGAAGCGTTCGCCGACAAAAAGCTCTCTCTTTCGAGTCTCATCATAATCAATCAGTTTGTCTCTACATCTGAAACAAAGGAGCCTCAGATGGACACCCGTCGCGGCAGTTGTATCAGCAGAGTTCCGACGGCGGTCGACGATCGTCAGATGCTGGCGCGATGTTGATGCAACGGCGGCAGTTGCAGCAACGGCGTCAACGGGGGCGGGCGTAGGTCACTGCGCATATTCAAAGTTGGCAGCTGCTGCATCGGCAGCAGGTGCGAGATCTTACCGGGCGAGCGACGGACCGTGAACCGTGGTCTCCGTCGTTTCTTCTGGAATCCGCTGCAGCGGCAGCTGCAGACCGACGTCTCGTCGTCCAACGATATCGTGTCACCGTGGTTTCCTACTTGGCCCGATAATATCGAGCCGTTCGCCGTTATCACGTCGCCCTCCAGGCGCACCGCTCCTTGCGCAGCCTGCGTCATAACAATTTCCTTTTTTGTTTCGAATCGTTATGCTGCTACTCGCCGCGTATGATCGCGATACTACAGGAACTGTTAAGAGGATGTTGCTGGGTTTTCTTTTTTCTTTTTTTTTTCTTTTTTTATTTCTTTTTGCTCATCATCGCTTTCTGGTTCGGGTAGAGGGACTCGTTGGATACTTTTCTTGTATTGATTGCGGGATACGAGGCTGGGGACACGAGCACCCGGGGCGCGTTAACCCTTTACGATCGCAACGTCACGTGTGACGCGGTGTTGCTTCGCCGTGGAACTTTTAGTAGTCGGGATGAATTTTTTTTTTTTTTTATTGTTGAAGAAGGAGTTTGATAGTAATTGTAGGGAAGAGCAAAATTGAAGATTCTGATAATTTTTGCAGTAATTGTAGCGAGGAACAAACTTGAAGATTTTGATGAATTTAATAGTAATTGTAGTCAGGAACAAAATTGAAGATTTTGATAATTCTGATAGTAAATTACTGATAGTAAAACGTAAATTGCAAAATATATAAATATCGATTATTTTTGACATTACTTGATTCATAATCCTACAATCACAAATATAGAGAATTTAAAATTGCGACCGAAAAGATGAAAATAATTCTTGCTTTATTTTCATCCTCATCATATTTCAGATATAAACTATATTCGCGAATTTCATAAAAAGAACATCGGTTAAACGGACGAGTTAAAAATGAAAAAATCCGATTCCATCAGAAATATATGTTCCAAACGATCATTTATCGATCGATTAAAATTTCATGGTAACCCATATCTATGCCGAAAATATTTTTCTAAAGATCAATACTTGGCTGGTAGCAGCGAGATTCCTTACCTGAAGAGCTTCAGCCTCGTCTCGCCTTTCGTCCTCGGTGTTCATTGTGACAAATCTCAGCACCAATAAATTGAGGGAGGCAGCGACGATAGCCAAACCGAACAGGATGAATATCAGAGCGAACATCACGTATTCGGGCTTGTTGTCGAGCGCGTTGTCCTTTTGCAACGCGACCATGTCGCCGAAACCGATGGTTGTCAGTGTGATGAAGCAATAGTAGATGGAATCGAAATACGACCATCCTTCGTATCTAGAAAACGCTGCTGCGCCTCCCGCAATTGTTAAGCAAGATAAGGTCGTCACCACGCAGATTAGATTTATTTCTGAGGCCTGGAAATTACACGATTTTCACAATTATTTATTGTCAACTATATTGGAAAAATTCTGGATTTTTTATTAAAATTTTCTATACAGAAAGAGACTAAATTAAAATGGAAAAAAATTCATACGAATAGGATGAAAATTGGAAAATTCAAGGATCTGTACAGTAGACTCTCGTTATATTGCCGCAGACAGCACTGCAGCAGCAGAAAATTTGTCAAGCTTTCAAGCTTTCATTTAGAGAAAAATAGGGAAGATAAAAATGGATCATTTTCATAAGCTATAATAGTGAAAGAACTAGAGGTGAAATCGCTTAAGTAGCAATATAACGAGAGCCCACTATATTTTTTAAACAAATTCGAAACCAGCAAAATGATGACTTAAACTCCCCTTAATTTCGCCCAAAACAAAATTTCTAACATCGAAAAGAAGAGAATGATTAATCTTACATGAAATAATTGGTAAGTTAAGAAATAAGTGAAATAGGTCAGTATATAGTCAGACGCACTACTCTGTAACCAAACTCCCGATATTTTATTCAAAACTATTTTTGTATTCTGTAAATTTCATACACGTTCTATTGTTCTAATCCTGTTTTGAATTTTGAAAAAGCTTTATCTGAAATTCAACTGTAAAGAATAACTTTGACTAGTAACTTTAGAATGTAAATGCAACGAGCTTGGTTCTCCGACATTCATAGCATTTAAAGTATAATTTATATGGAGTTTATAGTTTTACCTGGACATCCTTACAGTTAAGAAGCTTCTTTACGTTCCGTATTACGACGGATGAGAATTTATTCAAACGCTCTCCTATGCTCTGGAACATTACGAGTCCTAACGGGATGCCGACGATCGCGTAGAACATCGTGAACAGCTTACCGCTTATGGTGTTTGGCGTTGAATGTCCGTAACCTATAAATTACATTGTAACTGTAGTATAAGTACCCTTTGACAATTCCTTTCCATTGTACATTCGTGATTAAAACAGGAAAAATAATTATTATTTTAGAACGTGAATTCTGAAATGTTTTTTTTTTTTTTTTTTCTTTTGGATATTGTGATGGTAATTTTCGATGGGTGAATTAAATTCAGGGAAATAATTCATCCGGAACGTACCAATAGTGGTGAGGACCGTGGTTGCATAATAAAACGCTCCGGCGAATTTCCACTGTTGACCGGCTTTATGAGGTTCCGTCTTCAGCACCACTGTTTCCATGATCTTGAAGTCGTCCTCGCTAATATTGTACTTGCGTATAACCATCTTTTCAATGGCTGTCAACAAAGCAACGTCCAAACCAATTAATCCATACATCTTCTACTGCCAAATATGTTTAAGGGTTGATGATGACCGATATTATAAATGTAATTAGTCAAATAATTAACAAAGAAGATTTTCTATACTCATTCAAAATAGAAGACTAAAGTATTGAATTAAAAAATTAATTTTTAATACATTTCAAATTTATATATTTTACCAAAAATATTTATTTCTATTGTGGTTGCAAAGATAATTTTGGAAATTTCAGAAATGTACCTGTAATCGGTACACGTGAGACTCGAAGCGGAAAACTTGACATAAACGAAAAAGAAGCAATTCAAAGTTTCACCTGTGAGGCGACAGGAAATCGATACTTTTAACAAAATTACACCTCAAGCCATACAACTTGTTTCCGCCTGAACTGATCCTAGCTTAGTGCCTGAAAGTGGCAAAATCTTCGTGATCGTATCCTTTCGTTTAAACAAGAAAAAACTAAGAAGATTTAGAAACATTGCTCAGATATCTCCAGGATCTAGACTCGGACGATTCTACTTATTTCAGTGACTATTCTTATCGATTTAAAGTGTTAATATGTTAAATGTTATGGAAGTTATTCTAAGCTAGATCGCCTAGGTAACGTTAATTTAAAGTTTGAATTAAAAAAATGAAACCTGCATTAATATTATAATAATTTTGTAAGATAGGAAATTGAAAAATGGAACTATGGATTGCTGAATAATAATAACTGAAAAGCATTCATATTTTTGCAGCTGAAGTTTTCTCGATGCTATTCTAATTACCATGACCAACAAAATTAATTAAAAAAGTAATCAAATTTTCAATAAATCAAGAATTTCATTCTAAAATTATCGAGATCAATTTTCCAACTGGAAAATCCAACCTTCCTGTTCGAATCATCAATTTATCATAGTGAACATTTGAAACCTCTGTACCATTTGTTTAACTTTATCAATCAAATCACTGGTATTATTGTTGTATTGTTTTAAAACATCGAATCACAGGTATTATTAAAGCTTCTAACAATGTCAAACAAATTGAATAAACAGAGCGGCAGAAGAATCTGCTAGATTCTCATGATGTTTGAAGTTTCATCGAGAGAAAATGTACCGTCCAATGCTTCCTTGCGTCGTTTCTCCGTCTCGGACTCGAGAACGTCGAAGATTGCAGCGCCGACGAGGAGGTAAGTGAACGTGAAGACGATCAACGATATGGTCCGGACGTTTTGCTTCTTCATTCTCTAGTGAGCCACATGCTCACTAGCAGGGCCCCGGCCCTAACTACTTGCATCGCTCAGTGGGGTACCATTTGGTGTGCCGGGCCCATTACGACCCCTTTTTCTCACAGACGATGCTCGGGGGGCCCTTTTTCTCTTTACCGAGCGCTACAGACCCGGCACGCGACTCCTCTTCTTCAGGCTGTCTTCTTGAAACCTCTTCCTTTCATCTGAAAAATTTATTCACCTCTGTCATTAATTTATAAGTCAGAAAATTAACCCTTAACCAATATCATCCATCTATCAAACGTGGAAATTCTAATTTTCAAAACAGAAAATGATTGCAATATAGTAATCTCTTTAATATTTTGAGAAATCTACTTAAATTTAGAATATTATCAATAAAAATAATTTATTGGTGGTACTTCTAAGAAATAGTTAAAAAATCATTATTTCTCAAATTGATTTAATATATTTAAATTTCGTACAGCTTAAACCAATTTTGTCTCTGAATGCAAATGCACGTGTTGCACTCTCGAATTATGCACCTGATAAATTCTCTTATCATTAGCTACGATAAATCCAATAATACTGATAGATAAAACAAGCCAGAATTTCTCTCGCCACGAGATAACAATAATTGAATATTACTTATAACGATGGAACAAAGAAGAAAATTGTAAGCGGTCACGCAAAGGAAGATCTCGTGACGGTAAAGTGGTTTTTCGAGCGAACACCGGATATTCCTATTCGTTCTGTAGTTCGAGTGCCAGCAAAGGGTCTCTTTTTCAAACGTTCTGTGAACGAGCACCGGCCACGGTACAACGTTAACGGGGTTCGACGAAGATATAAAAAGGTATAATCGTCCTTGTCGCTAAAACGGGACTCTCTTTTGAGAATCGTTCTTTTCTCCTTCCAGTGAATTCAACCGAGAGATAACCGTGAGGAGGGTAGATCGAGCAAAAAATCTGCTGATATCGAAGGACTCACCTGCAGCCTGTTCCGGGTTTTCCTTTACGTGCGACGAAAGGTTGAGCAGAATGATATGGCAGTGCTTTCGCTGCTCCCACTGCCACGTTCCCTCCATTCCTCGGCTTAGCACCCAACCCTTTCAGTGCCGACTGGAATGGAACAGTAGAATTTTCATAAAACGCTTAATTAATTATTCCTTCGATTATTTATTGATTATGAAACGAATCGCATTGATTGTGCTTTGATTTATGGATTTTCAATTTTCAGATGTGATGAATGTTAAGGAGGTCATTGGTGAATGATATGTATTCAATATGATAGAATAATTAAAAAAGGAAATTGTAGTTCATATTATTTATGCAAGGAGTCAAGGGGAAACAGGACCGAATTAAGACTTCTGGGGCTTCAGGGCCATCAACCCCCTGGGTTGCTAAATTTGGTTAAAAATTTAAATTTATTTTAAATAGAATGAAACAAAATTTAATTATTCAATATTTTTTTACATAATAAATGTAAGGCTTAGAAGGGGTCTCCCTTAGCCTCCTTAGACTTTTCCTTAATCCGGCACTGAAAGGAAAGCCTAAAGATTGTAATTGAAAAATGAAATTGTTACAAATCTCGTTATACTATAGAATTTTAAGACAGATAATCAATACTTTAATAAATATTTAATATTAAGGTTTCAGTAAGATTTAAGGCATTTTATTTTTAGAATTTTATAATACAATTGTTACCCTGTCAATCTAATTTGTGTGACATAGAATCGTGAAGAAGCACAACATTTATTAATTTTTAATGTAGTATCGAGAGATTATTATAAACTGTTCCTTTTGTCTCTAATATTGAATTCATTCCTCAGAACTCCTCGAAGATGATTCCTTAATTGCCTTGAACAGTGCACGAGTACAAAGGAATCGAATATTATTAAATGCCTAACGAAATTGCTTAAAGAGAAGCAGAGAAACATGCTATCCTACCAAATGCTGGATTAAGACTCTTAGAAACCCTAAGCACTTCGAAGATTTTAATACCTTCTTTTAACAAAAGTTAGCCAGCTTTCAATCAGTTAAATTGTAAATCTAAAATTATCAAAACATTTTTTTTTTAAATAAAATATGAGACAAATTCACGTACATAAAAAATTTAAAATTTAGAAAATTTTTGTGATGTCTCCCTATTTTTCCTGGTGCCCTAAGCACATTTTACTTACTGATTAATCCAGCACTGATCCTACCATTCCATTACATCTGCCGTGATTATTTCTTTAAACGTCAAAGACCGTGGCCTAGATATGAAATCGAGTAAAAATTGCAAGTCGGTGCACCTTTAATCTGTTTCACGTAGATATTTCTTTCTGTATAAGCTTCCTACCCACATCGATTCGAAGAACATCCGTCTCGATGGAAATCGATTAAAGGTGCGAGAACATTGTATCAAATAATTACAATGTGAAATTAAAAGATTGACCCATAGAAAGCCAATAGACCCATTTGGTTTAAGAAATGACTGGTTGTTCATTTATCAGGCGCAATTAGTTTTTTATATCTAATTATAGAGCTCCATTTTTTAGGGAGCCCCGTTATAAGCCTTCCAAATACAATTAAACGTTATTTAATTTTAATTAAGATAAATTTGAATTTTTAGATCAAGTTAGTTATCCAAAAGGAGTTCAGAATCTCTGATCTCTGTATATAATTACAAATTGAAATTTCATTGAAATAGATATTAAAGAAAAATATTTTCTATGAAGTGAGATAATTTCGTGATCATTGAATCATTACCGATTTGCTAATGGATTTTCTATGTTATCATAGAAGCATGAATAATGCATCCCTTAACGTAACGCCAATCCAACGTGTACTCATTATTGTTCCCTCAGCCTATTAAATCTGGATTTACCGTAATGGGTGGCGCTTTGTGACGAGGACGGGTTTATCGGGAAAAGTCAACGCCGGACATTCGCGTAATCGTGATTGCAGCATCGTGTGTCGTTGTCACGTGTTTAATTATGATCCTCCTCTATACACCGATCATCTGACTTGAATTATTCCGCATGGAAATTTTGTCAGAGGTAAAACTCACGTGAAATATCATTTCTACATAGAAACATTAACCAAATGAAAATTAATTCATGTAAACTTCTATATAATTTTGAGTTAAGAAATAAAAATTACTATTCCAATTTATAACGATAACATCTTATCAAGATCTTGAAAAATTCGCCTAAAAATAAAATTTAGAAAGTTTCCAAAGAAAGTTTTTTGTTAACAGTAAAGATTACTATTATAATTTATAATGATAATTGAGATTTTGTTTCAACTTTACTTTCGGGCATACAAAATTATTGACTTTTATTTATACTTAAAAAATATGCGACAAAAAAGCAGTCAGAAATACAAGTTTTAACTCTAGGAATCCATTTGCTCAAAAGTTATTGAGGTTAGTTCGACGCCATATTGATTTCTATCTATAATCTCATTGGTGCAATAAACTAACCTAACTTAATCTAACACGTGCAAAGCATATCTATATCGACTTCCCTCATTGGAGGAATTATGGGTAGAAACTAATATGGCGTATCATAATACCAAAAGTAGGCTAAAGCGCTAAACTCTACATACACCCAACTTCTAAACATAAATTCTTAAAGTTAAAACTGTTATATTATTAGAACATATTATAAAAAATCAATAATTTTGTCTGTTCCAAAGTAAAGTTCAGCCGAAATCTTATCAAGATCTCAAGAAATTCTATTGACAAATAAAATTGAGAAACTTTCCAAATACCAAGTGTTTGTTTTTCCATAGAAACTTAAGGATATGCAAAAAAAATACTTCTCTCAGTGAAAAGTCACACAGATTTCCTAGAACCATTCTTCTTATGAATTATTCCTATCTCGACGAATGGTTTTCTATTTTCGCGAATCGAGTGTCATTACAGTTAAGGTTTTCAATCTTGGTTTTCACAGTGTCTCTCTAAGAGAGTGCCACAAGAGTACCCTTGAGATCTACAAGCTCTTGATTACACCACTTAGGATACGGTCGGGGCATTTCCAATAAGCCGACGTACTACCTATAGAAACTCTCCATTCATGTTAAGCGGCTGGTTGCCGGACAACTGTTCCAATGTAGCAATCAGAGGACAAGGTAAGGGTTAAGGGTCACTCGAGGGTAGATAAAATACACCCTTTAATTCGTATAGTTTCCGATGCTAGACGATTGTTTGATCTTACTTCGAGTCTTGATGAGGTTCGTTTAAAGTCTTTAATTATCTTGACGATGGATCCTATTGAGACCATCAACGTCTAAATCCAATCGGGTTTCATTGGGGTAAGCTGTACTGTCTGAAAGTATTTACTATACACGGGGAGAGATTAAACGGGAATTTCACGGATAAGATTACCGTGATCCTTGAAGCAACTTCGGTTAAAATAAGCTATACGTGAGATTAGTGACAATCTCCTGCCATTAAATTGATCTCTCTCCTATCTCTTATTGTTTTGGAATTAGTGATATCATTCGATATTTTATTTAATTTTTAATTTAGATTAATTTCTATATTTAATCTAAATTGATTTTTAATTAATATTCAATTTTTAAATTAGATTAATTTTTGATATTTCATAATTTAATTTATAAACAAAATTGATAATTAAAAAAATTATTTATCAACACTTTCAAAATTATTATATAAAAATTGTTAAATTTCTCTCTTTGAATTTTAACAAAACAATTCAAAATTAGAATTATCCCTGAGTTACGTTTGGGGTTTTAAAAAAAATTGTTGAATTACTCTTTAACGAAGCTCATTTATTACCGTGCGCTGTACAAATTCGTAAAAGGGAATTAGCGTTACGGTTGCTGTTAAAAATATACGCAGGCTAATTAGGAGAGGCATTTAAGGTATTAAAAAGTTTCAACTTTGATGTTTGAAATTAAAGCTGATATTTTCATCCGAACTGAGGGTTATTTTCAATTTATTTTCCTTTAATCCACAGAGTATGATAACATTTATAATGTATTAAAGTTGCATTAGTTATGAAACGATTTAATATTTACACATATTTTAATATTTGTTTATGCTGTGTATTTTTACACCAGTCACATGTACAACATATTTCTGTTAATTAGCATCTCATAACATTTTTAATCTCAAAAATTATTATTCTTGTTTTTAATAAATAATTTTCAATTAATTTTCAATGCTAATCTTGGATACTCTTTTATATATCCATACTACTGAATTTCTCAGACTACTCTAAAACTCACGGGATTTAAAAAAAAAAGCCCAAAATTGAAATAGTACAATAACTGTATTAATTACTGTTCTAATTACTCACTGCTCATTATGTGACACTTGAAAAATCGACAGAATTTCTTTTTTTAATTACTTCATGAAATTATCGTTCAGGACATTGATTTATCAATCAGATAAATTGACAGGAAATCGTTGGTCCTTAAAATATCCCAAAGGGTGAAGCGCATTCTTAGACTGACAGTCAGGAGTGTAAATTTGTAACCGGATCCGAGGTTGCGCGGAACCTAAACTCCGGGCAGGCAGGCAACTTCTCAGGTTAATTTTGCAAGGACGATTCGTGATTGCTCGTATAATCTGGCTGCTGGTTAATTCGTTCTCCTGACAGAATTTAGTCTGCCGGGTTTCCGGTTAGTGGCACGAGATCTCCGGCTGCTTCATAAAATTTGCAACATGAACGTTGCAAATGTACCTATTCCCTGCATTTCGAAACCTTCGAATTAATACTGATTTCCGCGTCCACGGATCTAAAATTGTCCTCCGCGAAACCTACTTTTGTATTCACGGCTATTGATCCAGAACTCTAATTCTGTCGTTGCTTCCTTGAGAAACGTTCCTTGGATATAATGAATGACCAAATGCAAGATATTCTATGTATAGAGCATCCCTTTTCAATTTGCCCATTGTTAAATAATTGAATGATCAATTATTCAAATCCTTGGACAAAAGAGCAATAATTTTAATTAAATTTTAGATTCTATGAATTTTTAATTTACTTATCAATGAAACTTCGCCACTTTATAGAGCTCATTAAACTAAACACGTCTATATTTCATTTTAAGAACAGAAGATTAATTTTTTAATAATTAAAATAATAATTAAAATTAGTTACTCC